AAAAAAAAAAAAAAAAAAAAAAAACTATGTCGGCAGTTGACAAGCAGAGGGACCAGACAGACATCCTTATAATCATTGTGATATTTTACTTGTTATGTTGGGTCTTGAAGGAAAGAAAGTCATCTTATACATTTAAATGGTCCCCAGGTTGGGGTGCCTGAGTGGCTCAGTTGCTTAAGCAGTGGACTCTTGATTTCAGCTCAGGTCATGATCTTGCGGTTCGTGAGATCGAGCTCCACGCCGGGCTCCATGTGACAGTGCGCGGAGCCTGCTTCTGATTCTCTCCCTCCCTTTCTCTCTGCTCCTCCCCTGCTCATGCTCACTCTGCCTCAAAATAATAAACTTAGTGAAAAAAAAATTAAAAACAAATGTTACCCAGATTTATCACATACATTTACTAGTTTCATAACTCTCTGTCCTAATCGAAGGACTCTCAATGATTTTGGGGGTCTTGTCACTTACAGTGTTGGCCGGGTTTCTTGTCTTGCAAGATACAGACGTCACACACTGTTGAAAATGCTCTGATTCTCGGTGCCTGCTTGCTGTTCCTTGCATCCTTACCCATGGAGGGAGTAGGTTTACTGGCTTGGCAGGTTGTCAGGACTTGAACTCAAGTCTGGCTCCAAAATCTGTGTCCTTGCTGCTATTCTGATTGTATGTGTGTGAGTAAAGGCACGTAGTATGCTTATGTGGGCTGTTTCATTATGAGGTCGACGGAGTTTGAATGTTGCACAGACACTTGAAAATGCATTTTCTTTCACATATTGGGACCTTTTGGGGATGCCGTGTAATTAGAACTACTCATGATTTGCAGCGTGAGTAGAATAGCCCGGGTTCACAGGGTTGGCATTAGGTCCCACGTTGAAACGACAGCAGTGATATTCGAATTCTTGGAGTGGTTGCCACGATGCACAGACGTGGATTCTAATCACGGGTGTGACTCTGGCCAGGTTACAGCGTGGGCTGCGTGGTGCTACCTCCAGACCCACCAGAAACACATATTTTCGCATTTGGAATGCAGGTTTCCCCTGCTGCCGAAAAGTAGAGCTTTCCTGTGAAATCTTCGGAAGCCAGCGTGGCATAAAACAAAGAAGCAATTACCAGTAATTTACATGGAAAAATTTTGAGCATTCTCAGACACGAAAAACAACCTCTCTTTTTTAGGCTTTCCTGACATCCAAGGGCACATCTTGCTAACAGATATAAAGGATAGATCGAGATAAAGCACAGGTGCTCACAAGACGCTCTTCAGAGCTATGGTGGCCCGACATGCGCGGTGTAGTTCCCAGGGAAGGGGCTTGGCGGGGCCGCGCTCACTGCTCTGGGCGCATGCTGCCGCTAGGATGGCTCGCTGCAAAACCAACGCCGAATGCCATTTTTATTAAAAATTTTTTTTCTTACTGAAGCCTAGTTGACGCGCAATATTAGTTTCAGGTGTAAAACAGAGCGATTCGATGTTGATATGTATTACGAAGTGATCAACGATAAATCTAGCTACCATCTGTCACCACACAGGGTTGTTACAGCATTATTAACTGTATTCCCTGTGCTGTACATTACATCCTTGTGACCCATTTTATAACTTCAAGTTTGTACCTTTGGTTAATCCCATTCTCCTATTTTGCCCATCCCTCCACCCCTCTCTCTTCTGGCGGCCACCAGATTGCTCTCTGGATCTCTGACTTTGACTTGGTGCCTTTTGTCATAGAAGTGCAAATCCTCTTTGGATTTCTTTTAGTTAGCGAGAACAGGTTCCGTTGTAGGTCTTTTGTAAAAGCAAAGTGGTGTAATGCGAACGTTTGAGAAGTGGGGCCTACCTGTAGCATTTTTTTTCCCTCCCTGCCCCGCTTAGCTAGAAAAGTAAAATTGCATATTGTAAAATACTTAAAAGAGTGGAAAGAGGTTAATAGATGTCACCAGTAAACTCATGTCCAAAGATGTTCAGTACTAATACCTTGACTCTTTCAATGTGTATTTATACATATATACATACATACAACCTTTGAAAAAGCGGACAGGATGATAATACATCTTTTGTTCTAGAATCTTTTTTCACTTAATATTCCTATCATACATTTGTATATATTTTTATGTATTATCATATATTTGTGTGTATATGTATATAAATCATTGTAGACTTATGTACAGTACATTTCTCTATACTCTATCTGGTTCTCCCAAAGGTGACGTCTTCCATAACTTTAGTAACAGTATTGAAGCCAGGACACTGACATCGGTGCAACGTATGGACCTTGTTCAGATGTCAGCAGTTTGACGTGCACTCGTGTGTTTATTCCTATGCTTTTTAAACTACCTTTTTAAACAGTTGCGTGTAGTCTGCTGTACGTATGCACTGTATTATTTTTACTGGGGCGAACATGGGGTAGGACGTGAGTTTGAACCTTGTCTCTGTTCTTCATGACGTCTGTAGCCTCGGGTGAGATATTTGAGCTCTACCAGCCTGCTTACCCATCGTAAAATCCGGATCATCACACTTAGGTCACATAATCCTTACAAGGATTACACAAGAAAGTGTATCTGGGCGCAAGTAGTAACTCAGTAAATGTTAATGCATCCTTAAGGTGGGTGGTATAATCTGGCACAAAAATATGGTAGTGACTTTGGTCAGTTCTTCAAATTCCGCTAATGGTATTCTGCAAATAGCTCTTCATTTGGAGGAAATTCTCCATATTATCTCTTGATTGGGAATGAAATACAGTGGAGTAGGTGCTGGCAGAGGGGAACTGGATTTATTTATCTTGCACTCACGGAAGCAATACTTTATTGTATTTAACCCTCACAACAACCCTGTGAAATCGAGATTTCACAGATGAGGAAACTGAACTTCAGGAAACTTCTTCCAAGTCATAGAGCTAGAACTGGTCTTTGAACTCTGGGCTCTGTGACTGTCTCTTTATTAAACTCATCATGTTTCTGCCGGGCGGGAAGTGTGATTTGTCTAATATGATACTTGGCCTCTAGTTTCTGACTATGTCTGTCTCATTGTGCCAAATGTTTGCCACCTGCGTTAAGCACTTGACTGATGGCATTGAATTCAGAAAGCAGGGTGTCATGCAGAAAAAGCTAAAAAAAAAAAACTCTTCAAAAGTGTCTCAAAGCGCCATTTAAGCAAAATTGAACATGAAAAGTATCTTTATTATGGGAGTATGGATTTGAATTTTTTAAAGAGGCTCTGTTATCATTTGGACACAGAATGTCCATCACTCTATAATAACTATTAATCTTTTTTTTTTTTTTGAGAGAGAGCAAGAGAGCATTACTGGTGGGGGGAGAGGGAGGGAGGGAGGGAGGAAGAGAGGGGGAGAGAGAGAGAGAGAGAGAGAGAGAGAGAGAGAGAGAGAAAGAATCTTAAGCAGGTTCCACACTCAACGAGGAGCCTGACGCAGGGCTCAATCCCATTATCCTGAGATCATGACCTGATCCAAAATTAAGAGTTGGACACTCAACCAACTGAGCCAGCCAGGTGCCCCTATAATAACTGTTATTTTAATCATCAACATTGCTGGCCTGTGTTTAACAAGCTTCTAATTAGCATTCCTGTCTCTAACCTTCCCCTCCTTGAATTCAGTCTTGTTGTTTTAATTCTTGCTAGTTTATCGGTATTAATTGGAATCTGGACTGGAATGGGCAGGGCAGTATAGTGCTGTGGAAAGAACACAGACCTAGGAATCATTTGAATCCCAGATGTAATCATTTTATGGTCTGATGACAGGTCTGATAACAGTTCTGAGCCTGAGTTACTTAGATGGGAACATTACTTAATATGTACTTTATAGGGTTGATATGAGAAATAGAGTATGATGTGTTCAAAAGTGCCTGGATTAGCTCCTCATGTGTAATCAGTGCTTAATAAAAGGTAACTGAAGATTGTTCACTTTAAATGTTTTTCCCATCATTCTTTATCTTCTTTTGTTTTTTGTATTTATTTAAATAAGCATTATCCCCAATAATTTTTTTTTCTTTAAAGTTTATTTATTTTTGACAGGGAGAGAGAGAGAGACAGAGCACGGGTGGGGGAAGGGCAGAGAGAGGGAGACACAGAATCCGAAGCAGGCTCTAGGCTCTAAGCTGTCAGCACAGAGCCCGACGTGGGGCTCCAACTCACGGACCGTGAGATCATGACCTGAGCTGAAGTCAGACGCTCAGCTGACTGAGCCATCCAGGTGCCCCCCCGCCCCAATACTTTATTTTAAAGTTTATTTATTTTGAGAGAGACAGAGACAGCACAAGTTGGGGAGGGGCAGAGAGAGAAGGAGAGAGAGAGAATACCAAGCATCCTCTGCACTGCCAACGCAGAGCCTGACTCGGAGCTTGAACTCATGAAATGGTGAGATCGTGACCTGAGCTGAAATCAAGAGTTGGATGCTTAACTGACTGAGCCACCCAGGCATCCCCCGCTAATACTTTTTTTTGGGGGGGTGGGGTGTCTTGTGACCTAGGTTTCCCACTCTTTTTAAAAATTTTAACTTTAAAGGAAAGTGAAATAGAGCCTCTATAAAACCCACTTTGAAATGTGAATGGGGCTCCCCCTCAGTCTCTGTTGCTGGGTCCTGAATAGCAGCGGGGAAGCATTGGAGCAGATGGTTAGGCCGTGGGGGCCCAGGACCAGCACAGCCCCGCCTCTCCCTGATGAACTGTGGTTGCAGCCCACCCACCTCTCCTAACAACTAGGGCTTAACTAGCAGTGTTTCCTGGGAAGGCCAAGAAGCTGGGGCCACTACTTTTACTCCACAGTCTGCGTTGTGGCCTTGACAGCCCTTGACAGCTCGTCATCGTGAGCCCTAGTCTAATCCAAAGAGCAGATTAAAAAAATTAAAAGTCTATGGGGCGCCTGGGTGGCTCAATCGGTTAAGCGTCTGACTTTGGCTCAGGTCATGATCTCATGGTTTGTGAGTTCGAGCCCCACATCGGGCTCTGTGCTGACAGCTCAGAGCCTGGAGCCTGCTTGGGATTCTGTGTCTCCCTCTCTCTCTGCCCCTCCCCCACTTTCTCTCTCTCTCTCTCTCTCTCTCTCTCTCTCTCTGTCTCTCTCTCTCTCTCTCAAAAAGAAATAAACAGTAAAAAAAATAAAAATCCTGAAAGTTTATTTTCTCCTGATTGTAAGTATTACATATGCTTCAAATTTTCCTTCAGGAGACCAGAAAGAAGGGAAAAAAAAAAAAAAAAAAGGAATCAGGAAATCACCCAGCCACTATTAACATTTTGATGTTTTTCTTTTTCTGCTTTCTCCTCTGCATAGATTTTATTTTTTAAAGGACTCACAATTTAATCTTCTATTTTTTTTATATAACATTATGACTTGGAATATTCCTGTGTTATCAATTTAGGTTCTTATTTTTTTCCTGTTAAAGTAAATCTGTGATGGATGACTTTGGGCATAAGGCTTTTCCTTACACTATATTTTGGACTCTTCCTGTGAGATTGAGTCCTGGGAATGGAATCATCGGGATGAGTGTGAACATGTTTATCCTGTACACACACACTTGTTATCTATAGTATGTCCATAGGGAGTCACATCAGTTTACATTCCTGCCAGTGTATTTCTTGGCTGCTGGATGCTCGGTCAGTTCTTGAAAAGTTAATATTAATTGTGTTGCTTCATAGTAAGTTTGCCAGCACTGGATATTCTCATTAAAACAGTCTTGTTAAATGAGACCTTGTTTTCATTTGCTCTGTTTGATTATTGGTGAGTTACAGTATGTTTTCAAATGCTTGATAACCCCATATGTATTTTCTTTCTTTTTAAAAAAAAAAATTTTTTTTTAATGTTTATTTATTTTTGAGACAGAGAGAGACAGAGCATGATCGGGGGAGGGGCAGAGAGAGGGGGAGATACAGAATCCGAAGCAGGCTCCAGGCTCTGAGCCATCAGCCCAGAGCCCGACGCGGGGCTTGAACTCATGGACCGCGAGATCATGACCTGAGTCGAAGTCGGACGCTTAACCGACTGAGCCACCCAGGCGCCCCCTTTTTTTTTTTTTTTAAATGTTCATTTAAATTTTGAAAGAGAGCGACCTCAAGCAGGGGAGGGGCAGAGAGAGAGGGAGGCAGAGGACCTGAAAGAGGCTCCGCACTGACGGCAGAGAGCCCGACGCGGGGCTCGAACTCACAAACCGTGAGATCATGACCTGAGCCCAGAGCTGGACGCTCAACCGACTGAGCCACCCAGGCCCCCTATTTTCTTTTCTACTAACCTGTGTATTAATGAAGTAAGGATGTTCTGGACACAAGTAGCCCTGGCAGTTTGCTGAACTTACAGCTTCTCAAGGTGGCCACTGGACTGCCATGCTGACCACTTCTGTTTCTCCAGATGACTTTGGCTTTGAGCTGGGCTCAGCTCCATGAGCATTGCCGGCTTGAATCTGTCTCTGCTTGTCACGTGGCACTCTTCATTTTCTACCTTGTAAAAACAAGTCGATGAAGTTGTTTTTCTTTTTTTAAACCATTATAACAGGAACATTCTCAGTAACCTCAGAACGTTTGAAAGAAGCAAAGGAAAGAAATCAGCTCTATGTACCCACCCAGATCCAGATTTTGTTAGCATTCTGTGCTTTTCCTTGCAGTCTTTTAAAAAAATCACAGCACTTTTACCCGGTTGTAGCCTTTCCCCTCTTAACATCAGCATCGTAACATAATCATTACTCTGTGTTATTTCAAAATCTTCATGTTAGTTGTGCTTTGGGTCCTGGAGGTTATGTCCATCTTTTTCTTTTCCTTCCTCAATTCCTCTCCCCCCACCCTAAGGCAGTCTGTTTAGTGCGCTCCAGAAACCCGCTCGTCTCCCCTCTCTCCCTCCTCTTGTAGGGGTCTGAGGATTGTGAGGCTGCTCTGCTGGACAAGGCCACCCTTTTGGTGCAGCTGCGCTCAGAAAACCTCAACAAGAGCGCGGAGAACCACCGACTGCGTAGGAGCGTGAGGAAGGTGACCCAGGAGCTGAGCCGCCTGCAGCAGGAGAGAGAGAGACTGGAGAAGGACTTGGAGGAGGCCCATCGCGAGAGGAGCAGAGGGGACCGCACCATCCACGTGAGCGGCAGCAGCGTGGGCGGGCCGGGCTCTTTGTCAGTTGCTGGTTTCAGGGAGCTCTTCTTTGCGGAAGACGTAGAAAAGTCTGAAAAACATAAAAAAGAAAATGTTTCACTCCTCGTCTCATCACCTAGAAACTCTGCCTGTCTCTCTGTCTCTCTGTCTCTCTCTCTCTCACACACACACACACACACACACACACACACACACACACACACACTCACCCACTCACTCACTCACTCGCTCACTCAGTCACAGTCACATGCACACATGATTGGCGTCAGGCTGAAAATGCAGTTTTGTATTTTGCTTTTTTCGGCGTTCTCTTTTTGGTGCGTTGCCATGTTATGAGTGCTCTTCAGAAACATGTTTTTGTTTGTTTGTTTTTCGGTACAAGGATAATATTTCATCACTTGGATGTGCTGCAGTTTATTTACTCCCTTATGTAGGACATTTAGGTTGTTACACTTTTTTTTTTTTTTTTTTTTTTTTTTTTTTTTTTGCCTTATAACATGCAATAGCAAACATCCTTGTATCTAAATACTTTTCTATTGATTAGTTCCTGATAGAGGCATAATTATTGGGTCAAAGAGTATGAATATTTTTACCATTATTTTATAGATATATGCAAATTGTTTCCCAGAATGACTATGTCCGATTTCTGTGTGTTAGAGTGATCCTTTTTTAAAGACTATGTATTTATTCAGCACTGGATGCTAGCATTTAAAAAATTCTCTCGGGGGGCACTTGGGTGGCTCAGTCGGTTAAGTGGCTGACTTTGGCTCAGGTCGTGATCTCACGGTTCACGAGTTTGAGCCCCGCGTTGGGCCCTGTGCTGACAGCTCAGAGCCTGGAGTCTGCTTCAGATTCTGTGTTTCCTTCTCTTTGCCCCATCCCTGCTCACGCTCTGTCTCTTTTTCAAAAAAATAAGCATTAAAAAAATTTAAAAATAAATATAATTTAAAATAAAAAATTCTGAATTTGGCAGGCATAAAGTAGTTTATCTTTGAAGATTTCTATTATATGTTTTTTAAAGTTTATTTTTGAGAGAGAGAGCAAGCGGGGGAGCGGGGGAGGGGCAGAGAGAGAGAGAGAGAGAGAGAGAGAGAGAGAGAGAGAATCCAAAGCAGGCTCTGAGCTGTCAGCACAGAGCCCGATGCAGGGCTTGAACCCACGAACTGTGAGATCATGACGTGAGTCGAGATCAAGAGTCAGACGCTTAACCGACTGAGCCACCCAGGTGCCCGAAAATTTGTTACATTTCAACTTAAGTATTCAGCGTGTTGAGAGTCACATCCAGATGCGTCGCCTGGGTGCAGTTGGGTGGGATAGGGTCTGAGTCTGAGTGATCATTGACACTCTGGTCAAATGAATAACCTGCACAGGAACCCCGGGCAGGCACAGGACCTCGGGTGGGCAGTCATTAGAATGGCAGTCTCACAGGGGAGCCCACAGGTGCTACAGTTGAGTTCTCCAGTGGCTGCTGTGGGCACGGACGTCCGGATCCCCTGCTTTGAAATCCTAACGTGAACACTGACAAGAGAATTGAAATACGAATGTTTGTGTATTTTAACACAAATATTAATGAACATCAAGGGAACAGTAATGGAAACTTAGAAAAAGAAAACGTCACCTACAGTTCCACCAGCCTGACACAGTAACTTTTTGGTGTTCAGTGTCACCCTTCAGACCTTGGTGCAGCTGGGTGCCGCTCTGGGTCCTTTGATCCCTTACTTTATCACGGGCATCTTCCCATACTGTGTGGGGCCCAGAGTGACCGTGTGGAATGATGCATACTCTTCACTGAACAGATTTCACATGCTTTACATAATCATTTCCTGTTCTGTCGCCGTGTTGGTTGTTTAAATGATGCCACGATAACCGTCTTTGGGCGTAAAGGTGTTTTCCCTTAAAATTCCTAGGATTTGAGTGAGTTTACTAGGTCAGATGCTACCAACATTTTATGCTAGTTAATCATGTTGCCAAATCATTTGTCCAAAGGGCTGGCCCAGTTTATGCTGCCACCGGCGACCTTGGAGTATACCAGTTTACTGCATGTTGTTAAAAGAAGCGTTTCCCACGTGTTCTTGAACACCAGATGTCCCTGCTTTAGATGTTGATGGAAATATAAGCCATGGTCTCTGAAAGTTTCATCTTTTCCAAAGGGAGATGGAAATGTTATCTGTGATAAAATGCAAAATAGCTTGAAATCCAGGGCTCATTAATGCAGCTCAGGGAGTCGGTGCAGAAGATCCCCGTGGGATGGAGTAGTCGGGAAACCTTCTAGGAGGAGGTGACATGAGTTGAACGAGAAGAAGTAGGGTTTGAGTTGTGTGTGGTAAGGCAAAGACTGGCCAGATAGAGGTGCGGTTTTCATGGTTCTTACTCCTTCACTGGATAACTTCCACTTAGTTTAAAGTAGCTCAGCCCCTCCACCCCTCACTGTCATTATAAAAGGTTCATTCAGTAGAATTTGGATTGGGGACATGCATGCACATACACACATCTCTCTATAAAATAAGTAATTTTTTTAATCTCATAACCCATTCTTGGTAAACATTTGAAAGGGCTGTGTGATATTACATCAGGTGGAGATGCTGTAATTTATTCACCTGTCCCTCTGCCATCAGACCTTGGTGGTTCCGTAAAGCACTTACTCAGGTACACCTTGGTGCTTCTGAAAGAATTTTGGGCTGCTGTTGGTAAGCAGATATATTCCTGTGTAGCACCTGCACATCTGTGTGGGGAGGCGGGGAGTGCTTGGTGACGAAAGGAAGGGGAGGGGGACAGTGAGAGGAGGGATTGGGGTTGAGCATCCTGGGGGTGGGAGGGGTTTTTCTGCCGTGACTGAAATCCAGCTTGAGCTGACTTAGGCAAAAAGAGGGAATTCTTGCCTTGTGTAATAACTAAAGTGCTGGAGGGACAGAGACCCTGGCACACTGTGGGGACCGGATCTTGGTCCCTGAGAGCCGGTTCCCTCCAGTTCCAGGTGGAGAGCTCCTCCAGTTCCGGGTGGTTGGACCATCATTGCCCTGCTGCTGGGGTCACATAGTCCCGGTTTATTACATAAGAGGGAGGAGGACTCTCCCACTCCGTCGCCCCTGCTGTCTCCCTGTCAGGATGGCCGGAGGGGTGAGGTATGGAGAGGCCCAGACCAGCGTGGGTCACGTGCCCGCTCTTTGTCAGCGGTGTGTACGTGTGCATGCGCGTGTGCGCGTGAGTCCTGCCACGGACGGCCTCCTCAGAGGCACGTGCTTGGGAGGGCTGGGCAGTTACCCAGAGAAGCGGGCTGCTTTGCTTCAGACCTGAACAACCACAACGCACGCTAAACGCTTACCTCAGGCGAACGTGGCCGTGACCCCAAGCTTTCTAGCATCTCGCCTTGATTCCTTTTCTGCATCAGGTCATATGTGTGTTTCCGGCGAGGTGATGTGGCCATGGATTCTTTCCTTTTGTGTATGTATTGCGTCACAGTGGTATCTCTGCTTACCTTCTGGTTACGACCGAAGAATTCGGCCGTGTCCGTCTCCTGTGAACGTTTTGCACTGGACGTCAGGGCGCTGGCTTGTTGAGAGTCCGGGGAGCATGAAGGGGGTGTTCAATGCAGACGTAGAGCAGGACCTGCCGGCCCGGCGTGTCTTGTCTGCTTGTTCTCTAACAGGCTCTTTAATGAACTAGATTCACTCACCAGCTGCTACTGCTGTTGCTTCCGGATTGAAACAAACCAACAAATAAGCAGACCTTGTAGGGGCCTCTGTTTCTGCAAAGGAGAGGAATCCATCCATGCGTTCAGCCACATTGAACACTGTGCAGACCCTCGGCTGGGCGTGGGGACACTTCCACGACAGTGGTATGAACAAAGTCCCGCGGGAGCACAGGGCAGGGAAGCGGCTCGCAGGATCAGAGAAGGCTCTTGGGGAAAGCGACTTGTGAACCGGTTCTGAAGTTGGAGTTAAACAAAGGTTAATAGATAGGCAAGGGAGGGTTTTGTAGAGAGGGCCGAGGCACAGGGGTGTGAGAGCAGATGGTGTATTTGGGGACACAAAACAGGAATGCCCTGTTTGAAGTATTCTGAAGTATTATTTGGAGCTTTAAAAATTGTGATTTATTCCCTTTGGTGTTTCAGAAACATTTTCAGGGGTTTACGGAGAGTCATAAAAATGAGATCAAAGATACAGATAAAGGCGTTAAGGTCAAGGAACGAATAGGGGGAGTAGTAAAATGGAAGCAGAGTGAGGAGAAATGCACGTCGCGACACCTGTGACGGTACCAAAGGTGGGGCTTAAAATTCAGCCGGCAGCTCCTGGCAGCAAAAGTAAAAAGGGAAATTCGGAAAAAAAAAAAAAAGGGAAATTCGGGTACAAGGTATTCAGTGTCTGAAGATGAACACATTGAGATAAGAGCACGGCTTCTGCTAGGACTCAGGCCTGGGAGTGGTATTGCCTCTGGTGGGTTTCTGGCGTTCTTGAGCAGGATAGGGTCTTTGACACTATGCTGTTCAGTAGAAACAGTTCTGTGCAGGGCCATGTCAGTGCCACCCAAGTCGGTAAGCTCAGACGTGGTTTCCAGTCCCTGGGACGATGGTCCAGCTGTTTCCCATTATTCTCGTTTCTTTTTTTCTTTTCTTTTTTTTTTTTTTTTTTTTTTTGATTTTTTAAATGTCTTTATTTATCTTTGAGAGAGAGAGAGAGAGAGAGGGAGACACGGAATCCGAAGCAGGCTCCAGGCTCTGAGTTGTCAGCACAGAGCCCGACGCGGGGCTAGAACTCACGAACCACGAGATCATGAGCTGATCTGAAGTCGGGCGCTTTACCGACTGAGCCACCCAGGCGCCCCCCATTATACTCGTTTCTTAGACAGGAACTCCAAGCTCAGTGAGAAATGCTGCAGCCCTTTTTATAGGCGAGTCCTGACTCAGAGCCTTTGCCGTGGTCCACGGTCAAGCATACTGGGTTTTGTTGTTGTTGTTTTCAGCATCCCCTGAATTCTTTCTGATGGAA